ATCTACTCTTATGATATAACAATCTTTCTCAATGGACTCCTGCCATTATAAGAAATAAATAGACATTAAACTGTCTCCCGTAAGCAACGGTTAATCCAAACCTCACAAAGAGGGAACGTCCGACTTGGACAAGGAAAATATCTTGACTGCAGAATCCTTTGTGTTCTGCAGGAGCCTTTGTGTTAATCGCCCAGAATTCAATTAGCTCGTATCCCAGGTAACGACCCGACCAGTGGCCGCTGTGTGAACTTTTCACCTGTCCTGTGACCACTAGAAGAAACTAACTCTTGGCCAATAAGATTACAGCAGAAATCCCTAGAAATTCCTTATGAAATCTCGATGCCGTTGACATGGGGTTGTCTAGAATTAAAGTACCAATGCTCGATACAAGACAATTGCAGTGTGAAATTTGAGTGTTTGTGACGTAAGACAGGCCTGCATGCCTAATTTGTGACTCTTTAAAATAAAGGGTTCTTTATTAATATCCTCCCCCAGATGACATCACAGGACAGTCCAACTTTTTAGAGGGTGGTAAGACTGGGTTTTCCTGCTTTCTGATGCTTTTAACGACCTCAAAACATCTATGCTGGACCTAACCCCAGCCCACCTACTTCCACTGGAAAATGCAGCCTAACTCCCACTTAAAAACATCTGCCTTGTCGTGTATCAGTTCACCATTCAGTGGTGCAGATCCAGCCTATGTGTCTGCCTGTTCATTAACCCCCACGCCGGCATAGTCTGGAGAAAAGATCCAAAGTATGCTCACTACCCGTGACCTTTTCAGTGAAGCTTGCCACTCTGCTCGAAGCATCCCTGCCTTTACCTTTTCCAGCATAATTTCATAGTCTGTTACAATTACGACATGTGTATGCATCTTATTTTCTAGCCACCGCAGAGACAGAATAAAACGAAAAAGAAAAGGAAAAAGAAGAAGAAGGAGGAAGAAGAACAAGAAAAAGATGAGAAAGAAGCAGAAAATGAAGAAGAAGAAGAAAAAAAAAAGAAGAAGAAGAAAAAGAAGAAGAAGAAAAAGAAGAAGAAGAAGAAGAAGAAGAAGAAGAAGAAGAAGAAGAAGAAGAAGAAGAAGAAGAAGAAGAAGAAGAAGAAGAAGAAGAAGAAGAGAAGAAGAAGAAGAAGAAGAAGAAGAAAAGAAGAAGAAGAAGAAGTAAAAAGAGAAGAAGAAGAAGAAGAAGAAGAAAAAGAAGAAGAAGAAGAAGAAGAAGAAGAAGAAGAAGAAGAAGAAGAAGAAGAAGAAGAAGAAGAAGAAGAAGAAGAAGAAGAAGAAGAAGAAGAAGAAGAAGAAGGAAGAAGAGGAAGAAAAAGGACAAGAGCAAAAAGAAATATGAGGAGGAGGAGGAGGAGGAAGAAGAAGAAGAAGAAGAAGAAGAAGAAGAAGAAGAAGAAGAAGAAGAAGAAGAAGAAGAAGAAGAAGAAGAAGAAGAAGAAGAAGAAGGAAGAGGAAGAAAAAGGACAAGAGCAAAAAGAAATATGAGGAGGAGGAGGAGGAGGAGGAAGAAGAAGAAGAAGAAGAAGAAGAAGAAGAAGAAGAAGAAGAAGAAGAAGAAGAAGAAGAAGAAGAAGAAGAAGAAGAAGAAGAAGAAGAAGAAGAAGAAGAAGAAGAAGAAGAAGAAGAAGAAGAAGAAGACGAAGAAAAAGAATATTTTGGTCACTTGAAACGTCATGGAAGTTTAGAGAGAACAATATTGGAGGGGTATAGGCCTGGGAAAAGAGGAAGAGGAAGGCCAAAGAGAAGATAGGTGTAGGATGTAGCGGATGATCTTCAGATGTGTGTATCTGGAGCGGGATATTTTGCTTATGATCGAGAAGATTTCAGATGGGTTTTTATCGGAGCATGGTTCTGCAAAATTCACGCTACCGACTGAATGTGTTGAATTCTTCAGCTGGTAACGAGAAACGTAAATAATATACAGGAAGACACTAACTAGGACGGAATCTGCCTGTCATTTTTTGTCTCTGCAAACGAAATAGAGAATGCAAATTACTGAAATGTAAGAATGTTGTTTTTGACAGCCTTTTCGTTCTTGTAGATGTGAGGGATAAATCATTATGTTAGTGCTCTTATATAGGCGTCATAATGTAAAGGTTAGACGCTCACCTGCGAATCCGAAACTCATGGGTTCAAATCCCAACGAAACCGGACATTTTTAAAAGAAAAATAACCGTGGCCTCCAGTTCGACCCGGCCTTAAATGGAAACGTGTTAAGTCCTGGAAAGTAAAGGCGGCCAGTTTAATGTTGATCACAACACGCATCAAGTGCCGATTGGACTATAAAATACAAGTCTAGCTCCATATGTCCAATAGCCCTGAATTCTTAGGGGACAAGTCCTTTACTTTTGTGTGTGTGTGTGTGTGTGTGTGCTAAAAGTAAGCTGGGCATGGTCAGCTCTGTGGCTAAGTCGATGCGAAAGCTTCGTAATGCCGGGATGCCGGGTTCGATCCTAGCTGCGGGCCATGTGCCTTGCGTTGGTTTCGACAGTGGTATCGAGAAAGCCCACAGTTCAGAAAGCAATGGCAAAATACTGGACGTAAATTTGCCTAGAAAAACCACATAACAGCCAGAGGCAGTTATGGTTGGTTCTGTAACGTCCTGTAAAGGATACGAAACTAACTAACTAAGCTTGGCATGAGGGTTTCTTTGACGAAGTGGTCAAACCGTTAACCTCGGGCTCTGAATGTCGTAGGCGTCTTTCATGGCGGCGCTGTTCAGTTCACGATCGCAGTTTTTACAGAAATCTCTAGGGATCGTCGCAGGAGTTACAGAGTTTGTGAATGAGGCTCCCGTGAGGCGTCTAGCCGTTCTGCGAAGAGAGACCGATCTAAAAAACTAAAATCAGATGCAATGAACTGGATCCTTTCGACTTTAATCTTTATAAAAAAATACATTTATTTAAATGTTTGTCTATCTGTGCGTAGGTAATTATTTATGGTTTATTTTACGTTTCCCGCCCCCCCCCCCTCAAAAATGCCTTTCCTTGCCACTCAAACCACGTCGGGTCGTAGGGCCTCTGATATGTTGCAGGGGTGTCACGTTTTCCTTAATTTCAACGCTTTAACCGACCGGTAATGTTTCGTCTTCTCATAGCTCGCTGGCGTAATTATTTCCTAGTTTTGCTAACTGCGCAACGGTTCGGGACTTTAGAAACAGCGATATTTTTCGGATACTACGTTCCTTGTAAGTGCTTTCTTTTCCTCGGGGGGAAGCCACCACCAACGAACGTTGAAATACAAAAACATCATAGTTTCGTTACTCAAGAATAATCACGTCTACGGCGCTTCTCCTGCAGTACTGTAACGCCTGAAATAGACTCACGACAACGCAACCTTCCACGAAACCTATAGACAAACGCCACACCAAGCTATATCATAACACACCCCCGAAAAACATAGGAGAGGTCCTGCGGCACGACGATACTTGAATGACATGGACCTCGGCTCTCTTTCTGGGCTAGGCAACGTAAAATGGTCCCTACTTAAAAGTTATTTGTATAGCTAAAACTTTTTTTTTTTTTTTTTAAGAAATGAATTTGAACTTGTTTATCGCCGATTCGTCGTTAAATATCGGTCCCAGCATAACATGCCTCATGCACCACCCGAGAGAAGAGGCGTTGTTAGCTTACTGACAGTAAATATTATTACTTAATTAAATATTTGCAGAAAGGCATTTTTTTGTAATCATAAAGTCAGAAATAAAACAGACTTATTGCATGGGACGCGGGCTTCATAAATCGTTGCCCTAAGTTTTGTACATGTAACCTTACACGTTGACGTGTTCTACGGCAGATACAAATACAGTTAATGTCTGAGTGAGGAGTATTCGGAGGGACGTATTGTAAGACGGGTCTGATTGGCAAAAAAGTGACCTAGTATAAATAGATATTTCGTAATTTTGTTTTTCATCTATCTGTCTATCTATCTATCTATCTATCTATCTATCTATCTATCTATCTATCTATCTATCTATCTATCTATCTATCTATCTATCTATCTATCTATCTATCTATCTATCTATCTATCTATCTATCTATCTATCTATCTATCTATCTATCTATCTATCTATCTATCTATCTATCTATCTATCTATCTATCTATCTATCTATCTATCTATCTATCTATCTATCTATCTGTCTGTCTGTCTGTCTGTCTGTCTGTCTGTCTGTCTGTCTGTCTGTCTGTCTGTCTGTCTGTCTGTCTGTCTGTCTGTCTGTCTGTCTGTCTGTCTGTCTGTCTGTCTGTCTGTCTGTCTGGCTGTCTGGCTGGCTGGCTGGCTGGCTGGCTGGCTGGCTGGCTGGCTGGCTGGCTGGCTGGCTGGCTGGCTGGCTGGCTGGCTGGCTGGCTGGCTGGCTGGCTGGCTGGCTGGCTGGCTGGCTGGCTGGCTGGCTGGCTGGCTGGCTGGCTGGCTGGCTGGCTGGCTGGCTGGCTGGCTGGCTGGCTGGCTGTGTCCTCTGTCTCCACTGTCTCCTATGTTTCTGCCTTGCTCTCTCTCTCTCTCTCTTTCTCTCTCTCTCTGTGCGTGCGTGTGTCTCTCTGTAGATGTCTGTATTTAAACTGATATGTTCTCTTCTGTCTCTGCCTCGCTCTCCCCCCCCCCCTTCTCTCTCTCTTTCTCTCAGCCATTGGTATTCATTTAACGTCCAGACCGTATGTCCGCCCTCTCCGAACACTACCTAGGATATTTTCTTTCTACTCAGTTACACAATAAATCGCTGTCTTAAAATGAAAGAATGATTGACAAAGCTGTTGTCCGCAGATTACAAATCCTATCAATACAGCTTGTCAGCATTTGCAATTAACCTGTTGGATTATTCTCTAACCATCCTTGAATCCTTATAACATTTTACGCCTCATTAGCAACCACATACATACATCCCAGCACAACTTTTTATGACTAACAAACAACTGAAGCAATCATATGTGTTTCCACGTAAAAATTTAAACAAGCATTACATTTGTCTAACCTGTTTTTTTTTCCCTTCGGCAGGTAAAATGTCAAACAACAGGTAAGTCATCTAATTTATCTGCATCCTGTGCAATCAGTCTGTTTTTGTGTCTGTCTTCTTTTCTTCCTCTTTTTTCTCCTTCTCCCTACGTCCTTCTTCATTCTTCTTTTTATTCTTCGTCTTCTTTGCTTGACCTTAAAAAAGCGATTGTCATGTTGTGGTTTTCAGATACCTGTTTTCTTCCCTTTTTACCCAAAATTTCGATTTCAGTTAATTCGCAACCACTTGTATTTTACGACATGCTTGACAATGACCCCACCCCCACAAAAATGGGGCTTCAAAACCCCAACGAGGAATGGCTGTCTTAAGCAGACAGAAAACTTATTGTCTGAAAAAGAAGAAACAAAACTGATCAGGGATTAGTTAGGACTATCATCGATGCACTCCGGAAAGATCCGTAGGTGCTCCGATCTCCTCCTCAGCAGCCCAGCAGGAGTAAAGCAACGTATCATGCCCGTTCAGGGTTGATTAACCAGACGACGTGTGCCGTTGGTTCATGTATGTGTACTCCAGGTTGCATCCCAATGTCCACCAGTCTGGACAAGGATACCGAGTCTGCTGCTTGTCGTGATCTTCTTTCTCTGCGATATGCAGCTGACATAGCATTTTAATGGCATCACTTGTGTCCAGTGCGGGGTCACTCGTCGTAACTGCCCTGTCTGCCAGATAATCAGTACGCGTATTGTCTTGGACACCTGCGTGGTCCGGCACAAAGAGTAAGGTTAGGCGAGTTATTTGAAATGCATTTAAGGAGAGAATAAGAAAACGTAAATACACCAGGAAGGCAGAGAATCCTTCTCTCACCAATGGCGCATGGGGTGTTTGATACTATAGTGCGTTCCAAAAATCCTGCCCTACTTTAAAAACGTGTAACGCAGTAACCATTCGGTGTAATGTATGGAACTTTTACATGCAGCCTGCTAATAATAAGCCTTTGTATTGTGTTTTCACATCAAACAGTCAGCATGTTTACAGTTACTTGTATAAACTAAGTAAGAAGAACTTTTCAAAACGTCAAACATCATTAGCATTTCACCATCAAGTGATGTTCTATAGCAGTTTCTTACCGTAAGTTGTTAGATAAATACAAATTTCATTGTATGCCCTATAGGCTATAAAAAAATCCTCACGCATCGCAGAACAATGCCCACCCATGTATCAATTGCTGTATATTGTATTTTCTTTTTCTGTCTACGGTAATTATTAGTCAAAAAAAGTTGAAAGTAGTTCACCACTTTAAGAAAACAGCAGGACCTACGCAACTGCAAACTAAAAAATCATAAGGACATGGGTAATCTAAGGCCACTGCAAAACTTCGTGTTGATCCGTACACGAGTTTCTGAGGTATTTGTTAAAGTGTGACGGCAAGAGTTTTGGAACGCATTACTCACCCATATTCCATTTCTATCCTGGTGTATCTTTATAATTTAAAAAAAAATCAAGTAAATGATCCTTTTCCACGATTTTAGACGTTTTGCGCACATAGGGCTAGACAAGTATGTTATAGACCAATCAGTAGGTAATGTGGTTGACATCACGCAGGCTGCTTTTACTTCCCAGGACTGCACCTGGTACCCACGTAAGAGTGGGTCGACATTGGAGCCAATGTAATTTTTCAAGAAAGCCCTGTTCCGTCAGGACCTGAACTCACGACCTTACAATCCGCTGGCTAGAGTCTTGCCGCTACACCACGGAGACTATCTATCTTTTTAATGACACCGTTTACATGGTTACCCTGACATAGCCAGCAGAGTCGCCATCTTTCTCATTAAATGACATGGCAGCGTTCATGTTTCACGTCGCATTATATTTCTTCACGCCAGCTGCAGCTGTGCCCCTCTAGCGCCTGCCAAGGAGCCTTCTCAAAGCTTGTTATGTCATGTATCTACGTCGGTACACACATGCCGTAATTGTAACTGACTCACAGAGCATGTTAAGAAAGGTGGAGATAGGTAGGCTCTGTGCAGAGTGGCAAGCATCACTGCACAGGTCTTGGGTAGTAAGCATCCTTTGGATATTTTTTCCAGGGCATTCCCGTGTGTTGGGTTATGAACAGGCAGATAGACTGGACGGTTCTGCACCACTTGGTGGTGAGTTTATGTATGACAAGCTGAATGTTGTAAGGGCCCTTTAGGAGCGAGTAAACAGTGCGGAGTCACCAATAGATCATTAGGGTCTAAGAAGAATATCGCTGCTAGGAGTTACCAGGAAGTCTGGCGTTGATACTCAACACTAAAGGGAAAGGCGGGACGGAAGTACAGTCAGACAGTTAGTTACTGGTGCCATCGTAAATGGAACTCTTCGCTTGCTGCTGAAATTGGGGACGGGCGCTTATGGGAGTATCCCTAGTTCTGCTGTGATGTCAGTTGTTAATTCAACATTTATTATTCTACGTCGATGGCTCAGAGTGAATGTTGTTAGTTCGTGTCACGGCTGCTTCATTCTGTTCAAGGGTGCAGTTTTCAGAGTGAGCCATGGAGATCGTCGCCGGAGCTACGAAGTTCCGTTTTTGAGCTACGCTCTCGGCAGGAGGGTAACTTTTCTGCAGAGAGAGACTGAGCTACTGATATTAAAAACCTGGTGCAATGAAGTCGATTCTCTCGACTTTAGCCTTTACCCTTTAGCACCATATGGTTGTTTGTCGTCTTTCTTTCATCTGTTATAAAATTATAAGGGAGCTGCGTGGTCTCGACACATGGTGTCTGCCTCGAGTGCTAGAGGTTCTGGGTTCAATCCCCGGTAAGGCTGGGATTTTTTTTTACATTGACTTTGACTACTAGTAATTTGCTCTGGTCTCTGGTTAGTGAGATTGGACGCCCTTGTGCATTGTTGCGCACGTAAAAAATCCCTTGGCAGTTAGAATTCGAAAAAGTAGCCAGCAGCTCTGCTCGGGCAATATTTTGAGTTTAAAATTTAACTAAAGTATTTCAGGATCCTCACCGGCACCACAGAGCCTGTGCACTGTGCTGAGCTTAATCGGACACAGACTTGAGTTAGAAGAAGAACGGAACACTAATAGGTTGCTACCTATGTGCCATAATGTTGATCCGTTGTTCAAAACATCAAAACTTCATGAAACTGTATTTGAGATTTGTGAGTCCGGCATTGAAATAAAAGCTCATTAAGGACCCGGAATGATCTAGGACAATGAGCTCAAGGAACGGTGTCTTTAGCTCGATAGAAACATGAAAGCCGCCATGTTGTAACGGCTAGACGCTCGTCATTGGGTCTGAAGGTCATAGCTTCAAATCCTGCGGAACCGGACTTAGCTCCCAGGTCGACCCAGCTTTGAGTGGGTACAAGATATAGTCCTGGGAAGTAAAGGTCTGCCGGCGTGATGTTGGGCACATCACCTACCGAATTCTGATTGATCTAATGTGACCAATATCCATAAGGCCATGGAAAAGGGTACTGTACTTTCATTCATTTGAACTGTTTGTTTTTTTCTTCTTTAGTGCAATATTGCGGCAATACACCAGCCGATGTGGTGTTCATGCTAGATAGCTCTAATTCAATGTGGGGTCCCCACTTCGTACAGCAACTGGAGTTTGTAAGAAATGTGACGGCAATGTTTAAGATAGGGCACAACGAAACCCAGGTAAGTTTTGTATGCTCGTGATTATGTCAAGGCGAATTTGAGATAATATGATACGAAAAAGGAAAAAAAAAGGGGGAGGGGGTGAGATTGCAAGTGTTTGTGTGTGTGGGGGTGGGGGGGGGGGGGGGTTTAATTACAAGAAGGGAGAAAAAGCGAGAAAGAGCGTAAGAAAGAGAGAAGGTAAGGAGAGGAGTCTGCTTCTTCTTCTTCCTGCTCATCGGCTCTGAATTCCGGCAGAAAATCCTGGCTGTTTGTCCGTTTGGACCTTTGGCTTTGTACCAGGATTTGCGTTTTGCATTTACATCCGTTTACTGGGTCTCTGCCTCTCGGGCACATGTACTCCGACTTCGAAGGAAGACGACGGTGATCCTATCTCAAGTTTGACTGTGACCATTGTTTCGTGGGACATGATGCTGCCTCATTTGTGTAGTGTCCTCTTTGTCTCTTTATCTACATTTATTGCCCCCGGAGGACTGCTTAAGGGCAAGCACGTGTAGACTGGAAGCCCTCAATCCATCCATCCATCCATTTATGTTAAACAAAACCCCCCAAAAAATCGACCACTTTCAACCTACTGCGAGCAGTATCTGTTAAAATTATAGTCTGGTTTCTGTGTGCCAATTATGTTGGCTAAGAAATGTTAATTGCACCCTCAGAAGTAAATAAGTAAGTTTTACCCCACCAAAAATGCAGAGCCGACACATAACGCGCTGGGCTTGCCCAAGGAATTGTCACGTCCCGCACATTACTGCTTAACTTTACAACTGTATGTGGAGCTGTCTGCTTGTAACAGGCTGCGCCTTCCGAAGATCAGAAGGGAACAGTTCGCGGATGCAGGGTTCTGATGACCACACAAATAGGTACATTCTTCTTTATCATCACGCTAGACACCTTTAACGTTGGTTAAATCGTAAGCTTAGCACTGCAGTATGAAGAGGCATGCATCAGGCATGAATTTATCTGTTTCACCCTAACACTGGCGCAAGTGGACTGATGGATACGGGTATTAAAACCCTTTTGCTAATCAGCAGTTATCTATGACAATCGGGCATTGAGATTTACCTTGTGTGCAATAGAACGTATCTTTGTCGGACATTTAAGCCTACTCAGCAGGCTGATAGTGATTGTCGTAGTGTACCTCGACGCGGTGACGACGACGCTGAGGATTGACAGGATGTACGTAGGCAGGATATTACCGAGAGGAACCGCCCACAGGAGACGTTGCTCGTCTAAGCTGCCGGCAAATCTCTTGGTCAAGGGCTGAGTGAGTCTCAGACTTTTAACCAAGAGTTGTCCTTTAGTCATACATTCAGCTAGCAAACTTTACTCCTAAATGAGTTTTGATAGACGTTTTCACCCATGTTTTTAGGGGCGGGATGAAGTGAGTCAGGCTGAACACTACATATCTGGGTTTTACCTGCTCCGAGATCCTCTGCCAGCTGTGTTAATGCTAATTTGAGTCATTATCTATGGCGCACGACGGGGAAGTGCAGAAGGAGTCTTGCATGAGGTTTCTTAAAACCAGTCATAGATGCTGGCGCCTCAGGTGGGTTACGGAGTATTTCCCTCTACACATCACAAAGGACTTTCTCTCATGACTGTGACCACAATCACCGCGCCACAGGAGAAGAGTCGATTACAAGAATAGGAAAATAAACACGCTTGCGAAGGGATCGGCGGTGCGGGTGGAGAGAGAGTTGTGTGAATGAGAGAAATATCTCAAGATAAAACATTATCATCATCAACACAAGCATCATAATCATCATCACCGTCATTATCCTGTGGTGACATCACGCAGGTCTGTTTCTCCAATCCTCCATTTCATTCACTCCTTTCATTCGTCCCAGTGATTTTTTTAGACGTCCTCTTTTTTCAATCCATGTGATTTACAAGTCAGTGAATGGTGGGTGGGTGACTCTCTCTCTCTCTCTCTCTCTCTCTCTCTCTCTCTCTCTCTCTCTCTCTCTCTCGTGTGCCCGAATGAAATGTCCAGTAAATATCCACCTTCTCTGTCTTATAACTGACCATGCAAGCATTTGTTCAAACACTCTTAATTCATTACTCTTTTTGAATTCATCACATTTAATGTTTATGGGTCTCCTATAGATTTGTTTTCGAATGCATGCAATTTTCTTTTCGTGTCTCTAGATTTCACTAGCATATGTTAAAACTGAAATAACACTGTCAATTAATATATATATATATATATATATATATATATATATATATATATATATATATATATATATATATACGTAACTTGATTTTCAAACTGTATAATTTAGAGTGTCGGTTCTTTGGCTAAGTCGATGCGAACGCTTCGTAATGCCGGGATGCCGGGTTCGATCCCAGCTGCGGATCATGCGACTTGCGTTGGTTTCGACAGTGGTATCGAGAAAGCCGACAGTCCAGAAGCAATGGCAAACTACTGGACGTAAATTTGCCTAGAAAAACCACACAACAGCCAGGGGCTGTTGGGGTTGGTCCTGCAACGTCATGTAAAGGATACGCAACAAACCTATAATTTAGAGTTCCATATTTAGTTTAGAATTCTAAAGCTGCTGCTGCCTTGTAAATGCATGTCATAAATAATTTTTTTCTTGTCTTTCTCTGACAATAAAATTAATTACCATAATGTGAAGAGACAAAAAGGAAGAAGTAACTAAATAGGTACTAAGCGTGAAAAAAAGACATATAACAACGACGTTAAAAAAGATGAACTTCGAGGAGTAAAGGCAGAGATGCTGGATTTGATTCAACATGTTATATCAAAACAATAAACTAGATCGGAATAGAAGAACAGACAACAAGCCCTATGTGTCATATAACAGCACATCTTGATGCTGGCGATGATACCAAATGAAGCTGCCAGTTTCATTCACCCACTGGCGCTCGTTCTCAGACAGTTAAAATTCTAAAATTACCTTTGTAACTACTTTACTAGGACTAGGAGCTCCCTGTGTCATACTGGTCTAAAAAATAGCGCTGTCTCTCCTGAAGTTTAAACTCCTTTTTTTCTAACTGTCCACTGGCTGTTAACCTCTGAGAAAAATTCAGCCTGTTCGTCCATTTTAGGGCTTTAGGCTTATTCCAGAACTTGAGCTTCGAATGTGCTTCTGCTTTACATATATAGCTTATGTGTGGGCACACTGTTCGTTTCTTACTATTTATGCAGAAACTAGGAAGATCCATAATCAGTCGCTTTTACGACTGAAATCACAGCACTCAGGGCATTCCCATGCATTCTCCGTCCACATCTTTAGCAGCCGGCGCAGAGTTCCAATACTGATGGGACTGGTCACAATCTGGTTATGTGTCTGTCTTGATTTTCTTCTGAGTGCATTGTGCCGGCCAAACCCTCTGGTTACACCCAAAAGCTCATTCTTTCCAGGCCATAATAATCTTCTACCTCTACTGATTCCGCTGCTTGTTCGAAAAGGACCACTATATTTGCAGGTCTGAGCACTCACCATCATGCATCAGTGTGTACAAAGATGACATCATGCATCAGTGTGTACAAAGATGACATCGTGCATCAGTGTGTACAAAGATGACATCATGCATCAGTGTGTACAAAGATGACATCATGCATCAGTGTGTACAAAGATGACATCATGCATCAGTGTGTACAAAGATGACATCATGCATCAGTGTGTACAAAGATGATATCATGCATCAGTGTGTACAAAGATGACATCATGCATCAGTGTGTACAAAGATGACATCATGCATCAGTGTGTACAAAGATGACATCATGCATCAGTGTGTACAAAGATGACATCATGCATCAGTGTGTACAAAGATGACATCATGCATCAGTGTGTACAAAGATGACATCATGCATCAGTGTGTACAAAGATGACATCATGCATCAGTGTGTACAAAGATGACATCATGCATCAGTGTACAAAGATGACATCATGCATCAGTGTGTACAAAGATGACAACATGCATCAGTGTGTACAAAGATGACATCATGCATCAGTGTGTACAAAGATGACATCGTGCATCAGTGTGTACAAAGATGACATCGTGCATCAGTGTGTACAAAGATGACATCATGAACACAACAAATATATTCGTGTTGTAAAAATTTTATTTTTTCAATATCAAGTACACTTTCAGTCATCTTTAACAAATTTTCTTTTAATATTAAATTTTGCCTCATAAAATGACTCCCGCTTCACTGGCATTATTATAAACGCAGAGCAAACTAAAATGGTTGGGGCATATTGAAATCATGTCAGATGACAGAGAAGTAAAAACTGTATAGGGAGATGAATTGTCGTTTACCGCGAGAAAGACCAAAAAAATGTTGGAGAGATAATGTCCAGACAGACTTGCAAACATTTGGTGTCACCAACTGAAAAGAGAAGGCTAACCAGAGAGATGAGCGGAGACTTGTGATATCTGCAGCAATGGGCCTCAAGGGCTCGGAATGCTGAAGAAGAAGAAGAAGAAGGAGAAGCGGTGCTGCAAATGAGAATATACGCGGAATCTTTTAGATACCATGTGTACAAGGAAGGCAATATGAACGTAACAAACAACGACCATTGCCCTTGTATCATAACTCTGTGCTAAAGATGGGGACTCATTGTTGATAGGAATTCAACTACTGCGTGATATTCGTTCTTTGCTCTCAAGAGTGATATTTCTGCCGGTTGTGTCTTGTACGGAGTGTGAATATTTTATTTCTTCCTTCGAATGAAATACTACAAAGGGGTATTACATGCATCTTTACAATAATAGGTCACATATCAGCAACGTTCTAAATAAGGTGGGAGAAGAAGTAACATACTGCTGAAAATGTTTGCTTTACATTTTTCTGTATGATGTTAATACACCTTCAGATTACTATATCACGTACACTACACACATCAATGCGGTGTCGGGTTTATTTCCGTTGAATCGCCTTTAGTAATGAACCACGAAGGCTGTTCTTTCGATATGCTGCAAGTGGTGCTACTTCATCATCTACATCTCTGGAATCTCCAGGTCCCGGCTGGGGCAGCGGCTCAATATACTCCAAGACATTAAACTTCGATGCTGTGATATGTTTCAATGTAGTCAGAATCTCACCGTCTTTGAATACAACCAAAGCTGGAATGTCATCCAGCGAAATCTTCAGCCTTCTGGCCAAAGCTTTGCAGTTGTCAATATTCGCGGCAATGTACTCTGCTTCCGGGTTCTTGGACATCGCCTGCATAAACTCGAAGCGGATTCTTCTACAGGCCGGAGACCACTCAGAATAAAAGTACAACAATACAAGTTTATCTGTGGTGGCAAGAATTTCATTGAGTTCCCCAATTGTACTGATGAAGTTTCCAACTAGTTCCATTCTTCTAATTACTGATGCTTAGATCTCAGCTTACGATGTTTTAAGTAGCCACTTACTGCAATAAAACATTTATTTAGAAATATTTGAACGGAAATATGTCACTGTTTACAATTTAGCGCGCCGGATTTCGGTGCGCAAGTTCCACTCTTATCATTCGTCGTCATCATCATCAATTTCTACCTCTACCATTAAGCATTGTGGGGTGGATTAGTTTGCGATCCATTACTTTATGAGCAGCAATGGATATTATCATTCCGTGTAAATGTAGAAGCTCGTTAATGTTATCAATCCATTTTCTCCTAGGTCGGCCTTATGAATTCATTTCAGATATGTTCAAATATAGTGCCTGGTACTTATTCTAGGTGCATTTCTAAATGACCAAATTATTTCATTTTTTTTTTGTTTCTCAGTGAATTTACTGCATTGTGTTATATCCTCAGTCTGAAAATATAGTTTCTTTGTCTCGGATGGTTAAGTTGGCGGCTTTTCTCAGACATCTCATTGCACAGGTGTTAATTTTACATAGTTAGCCTTTGATAATGTCTAAGTCTGGCACTGGTAGCACAGTGTTGGTATGAATATGCTGTTTATTGTCTGTTTCTTAGCGCTCATACTTGTTTGGACGCTCCTATCTTCATGGTGTACAAAACCATTTACACAGAAGAAATGACGATTGTCAAGATTTGTTCTGAGTCAACATTTGACATCATTGCACTCAGATCATTTCCATAAACGCAACGTGCCAATCTTTAGCAGCCACCGCAAGGTTGCCTTTCTCCTAATGTCGATTGTGTCGGCCTGCTCTCTTACTGATCCCCGCTGCACAATTTTCTTTCAGACAGTGATCATCTTTTTTGTGCTTCCATATTTGGTACGTCCCCATTTGGACTATTAGTTATGGAATCATACGCCGTTCTTTTTTTGCACAAAGTGTTGTTCTTGACAGTTTTGTTGTGTGTCTTTGTTTTTAAATGTATTTTAGGTCTATTTTTTCTTTTAAATAATTTGATTTTGATTTGATTAAAAACCCTACATCGCAGCACTTGAGGCATTCCTATAGGCGCGTTGTCACCATCTCCAGCAGACAAGACGGAGTTCCAGTACAATGGCACCAGTAGCAGTCTGATTATATGTCTTGTTTGCCTTTCCCTTGAGCTTTCGAATATCTGTTATTACTGCCATATTTGATGTATTTTCTTTAGGTCGGTTTAGCAACGTTTAACGACGAGGTCCAGCTACAGTTCTATCTCAATGAATACACAGACAAGGATAAGTTGTTACGAGCTATTCGCATGGTAAGTAATTCTCTCTTAATAGAAGAAATACATTATTTCGACGAAGAAGACTGGAAATTTAAAAAGAAAACTAAGAGGAAGAGGAAAAAAGAGCATTATGTTTCTCCAAGTTGAAGTAGATATTCTTTCCGACACTTTTTATTGATTATATTATCCTTACAGTTTACACTCGCGGCGTCCGTGGCTTAGGCGTTACGAGTCCGACTCGTCAATCCAACGTACTGCGACTGAACCCCACTGCTGGCTGTTGCAAGTCGATCCAGCCTAAAACGGGTCCCAGGATGTATGTACTGGGGAGGTAAAGACCGCCGGCGTAATTCTGACCACATTACCCACCTGGTGCCGATTGGACTGTAAAAATACGGGTGCTCTTCCCATATGCTCGATGTGCCTAAAGGCATTAAAAGGGATCTTTACTTTTACTGTAGTCTACACTCAAGAGGAGTGGAAAAGGGCGGGGGGGGGGGGGGGGGGAAGGGGTGTGCTACTAAAATTATTAATGTTTAGTTTTAAAATTATCATTATTGCATATATATATATATATATATATATATATATATATATATATATATATATATATATATATATATATATATATATATATATATACACACGCGCGCGTAAACACACAGACACATATGCGTACACAATCATTACACAGCAACATTGGTGACAAACTATTGTGGCTTTTATTAGCATAGATAACCACAAGGAATGAACACACCTGCAACATGAACCAGCATTGTGAACGTCTTTTTAAAAGATCAGACGAATTGTTTAGCCGGTCTTTGCTAATGTTGAATTGTGCTGAGTCAAGAGTTGACATCACAGCACTTGGGGCATTTCCATGCGTTGTCCATCCACATCTTCAGCAGTAAGCACATAGTTCCAATACTGATGGTACTGGTCACAATCTGGTTATATGTCAGTCTTGCCTTTCTTCTGAGTTTAGTGAGCCTACCAGAGCCTATGGTTGAACCAATGTGCCACATTCACTCCCAGCCATAATAATCTTTTTTTTTTTTTCCCTACTGATTCCGTAGCTTGACCACATCTGCCCTGTCATGTCTCAATTCACGACCCATTTGTGCAGATTCAGCCAATCTGTCTGCCTGTTAATTATCCACTACGCGAGCATTGCCTGGGGAAAAGATCCAACGTTTGCTAACTATTCGTGACCTTCTCACTGACGCTTGCCATTCTGATCGAAGCATACCTGTCTTCAACTTTCTCAGCATGCTTTCAGTCTGTTACAATTACGACATGTGTATTCATTTTGTTCTCTGGCTACCGGAGAGCTGAAGTTACCGACTCCACCTTCATTCTTATTCTAGATGTTGTGGTGTCGTATGCTAGGCTGTCTTGCACCTATGATTTTCCATTGGCTTTCGCTACGAAACCCGAGGCACTTCTTTCCTCTGGCCAGACTCTACCATCCCGGCCGAATGTGCTAATAACCCTACACAGGTTGTCCTTTTTTTCTTGTACTCTGACCCACCCCTTCCCTCGCCCAGTGTTAATGTTTTAATGCTATAACCAACAATTAGCAAATCTAGTTACATAAATTACTGTTGTTGGTATTTGGGTTGAGCAAAATAGTTACATAAACCATGATTTTCGGTTTTTCGGTTAAACAAAATCGCAATATAAACTATCTTGTAGATATTTCAATGAACAAGACAGTTATATAAACCATCTCTTAGGTGTTAAGGTTCAACAAATCAACTGCATACACCATCTGTTTTTGGTATATCGATTGAGAAAAATATTTACACACACACACACACACACACACACACACACACACACACACATATATATATATATATATATATATATATATATATATATATATATATATATATATATATATATATATATATATATTACCCCAAAAAAAATAGAACATTACAAAGCACGCGAATTACGCCAAAAAACAGACACAGTCGTAAAGTTAAAACCCACATACGAATGATTTTGGTTACAAAACACACACAAACACACACACACACACACACACACACATATATATATATATATATATATATATATATATATATATGAAGAACACAGCTGCAATATTAAACCATCTTTTTATATGTTTCAGACTTAATCATAATACAGATCAAACACACAGTACTAAACCAGTCGTTATTGTCAGTTTTTTTTTTTTTAAACTACAAAGAATAAAACTCAGTTACAGTATTAATAAATGCATGTTTATGAATGCAGCAGTTTTAATACCTGCACAGAACGAGCACATTTACAATATCACCCTATCCTTGTTATCTGTTATGCTTGGTGAATATGCACTTATACGGCCTGTGGTGCAAATTAAATGATTGGTTACCCATCCTGTCATGTTTCCTAGTTCTCGTATGAAAGGCTAGCCATTATAATTTTTTTTTTTCTAGTTTTATATAGTTGCTCATGAGTCAGAATACATTTCTGACACTAGAAGACCTGGACTCGAGTGGTGCGACTTGGACTCGAACGGTGTAATTTCACCAAGAATCGTGCGACTTGAACTGAAGTGGTGCAACTTGAACTCGAGCGGTGGGATTTTGACTTGAGTTTTGAGTTTTGCGACTTGGACTTGAGTGCTGCGACTTTGACTTGAGTTTTGCGACTTGGACTCCAGTGGTGCGACTTAGACTCGAGTAGTGCGACTTGGACTCCAGTGTTGCCACTTGGACTCTAGTGGTGCCACCTGGACTCGAGTAGTGTGACTTGCAGTTGAGGTGTGCTACTTGGACTTAAGTGGTGTGACTTGGACTCGAGTCCACTCAAGTTTCATAATTACCGAATTGCGACTCGACAGTTTTAGTACTACCAATCAATGCATCGCAATTTGTTTACTTAACATTTGGAATGTTTCAGGTTCAACAAACACACGGACCCAGCACAGCAACAGACAAGGCAGTCCGCTTTTTGAGAACCCGCTTTTTCCATGCACGACATGGCGCTAGATCCAGTGTGCCACACATCGCCATTATTATCACAGACGGTCAGAGCGACAACTTGATGAAAACCTTGATAGAAGCTACAAAAGGTCAGCTAACTGTCTTGTGTTCCTACATTCTTTCCTACTTCACAATGTGTTATTGATTCTACTAGTTAATTTATTGATCCACAATAATCATATCCTCTCACGGATACTTGGAAAAGTGCCCTTTTTTGTGTTTGTTTTTTTGTTAACGAAAATATATCAAACCAAAGGAACAGAAGATCAGCGAGCTTCACAATATCACGAACACAAACGGATCATGAACTTTTCGGCTACAGAGCCTTCATCAGCACGTTACATAAATCAAACTAAACCACATGAATACACAAATTCACTTAACTGAAGTATTTCCAAAGCAGCCACGTTGATGTCTAGCCAGTGGAATGAAAAGACGTGCGGTTCAAAAATATATAGCGCGAAAATGCAAAGGGTCGTGACTCAGGATGTTAAAATGAAACTGTGTTTACAGTTCAGCCCCCTGGGTGTTTGTATACTGTAATGGTATATTTGACCCATGAAAGTGAGTAAAGTCAAGGAAATAAAGTCAAGGGCACTTTTCCTGGCCTTTAGATGTATTTAATATACGGGTTTTTTTTACAGACCAATCGGCACTCGATGGGTGTTGTGGTCAACATCACACCGGCCGCCTTTGATTCCTAGACCTGATTCCAAGACCTTCGATTCTTCAGACTAACATCTAACGACCACACTGGCTACCGGTCATATGATGTCATCATTATATAGTAGTTCCTTTGCAGAAAGTCATTATCATCACAGTCAGCCAAAAATAAACTCGGTCTCTCGTCAAATCCTCTCCCCCTCCCCCCCCCCCTCTCCCATGAACTGTCTTACGCAGTGTGTTACTTTACATCGTGTGGCTAACTTCATGCTGGTCGAGCCCTGCCCTTGTTTCCTAGTACCGTGCGTTCTACTGTTCTTTTCCCCAATCAACCTTGGCGCTTGGTATCTCTATTTCAATTTCCGAGACAAGATGCCATTTACTAGTTAATCTTCTTTGATGTTCAGATTTTGTAGGAAGTCAGTTGTTTTCATTTTTCTTGGTCCATGGTATTCTGATATTCTTTCTACAGCATTTAAGTGTCCCCCCTATTTTCTTCCTTATACAGCCCGGGAGATAGACCACGACTCCTATCTGTATGTTGCTACAGCCCGGGAGATAGACCACGACTTATATCTGTATGTTGCTACAGCCCGGGAGATAGACCACGTCTCATATCTGTATGTTGCTACAGCCCGGGAGATAGACCACGTCTCATATCTGTATGTTGCTACAGCCCGGGAGATAGACCACGTCTCATATCTGTATGTTGCTACAGCCCGGGAGATAGACCACGTCTCATATCTGTATGTTGCTACAGCGAAGATACATGCTGTCACCAAAATGCTTACTTTAATTTCTTTGCTGGTTCTTTCCCATAAACTTGTTTTGTTGTTAATTTGATTTCTAAACCCAGTTAGGTTAAGGCTGTCAGAGCACGCAAGACCTTTCGGTATAAGTGGACCAACAATCCACTTGGACGCCTCAGACAGGAAGCATGCAATAGAATTGCTAGAACTAATTTTCTACAGCTCCCATAGTGGACTCCAGAAGTAGAACAGGCGTGGAAGGCAAAGAGAGCCGCAGTGAAGCAGCTAAAAAAAGTACGAAAGACATCCTTAAGCTCACGAGAGGAAGTGGAGTTGGCGGAGAATGTGAAAAAACGATAAGGTGGAGGTTTTCAAGCACTGTGCTGCAGAGGCCAAAAGAGCAAAGTGGGACACTTTTGTCAATGAAATGGGAGATGATAAAACATTGGGCAAATTCTGGAAACTGCAAGGGCAGATGCAAAGAAAAGATCGGCCTATGACAGTGGGAACAATCTATAGAGACGATGGTGTGCGTATGACAGCAGACAAGGAGAAAGGGGAGGCTTTTCTGTATAGGTTCTTAGCTCACAGACCACCCTTTTGCACGAAGCTCTGGGCACAGTCAAGGGTCAGCGGCTGATAAGAGGGAAGTCATGGATGGCTCAGGCAGAGGACACAATCAGACAGGTTTGCATTCTTGAGAACATTAGGCGAGGAAAGGAGTGGGTGAAAGTGCCACCTGAACAGTCAGACTTGTGCAGGATCATAATCACACTGAGCCGGGAATGCAGAGACTGGCCAGCAGGTGCCACAGAAGTGGAAATTCAGCAATTAATTCAAGATAATGCTTGCTCGGAAGATTTGATCATTTACACAGACGGTTCAGTGTGAAGAGGCAAAATAAGTGCTTAGGGTTTCTTAGCAAAAGGTAATGGTTGACGTTTGGTGCAGGAGAGCCTAGCATATGATACCACAACATCCAGCTTTAGAATTGAGGTGGAGGCGGTCACTGCGGCTTTCCGCTGGCTAGAGAACACGACACGCACGCACATATTGTGATTGTAACTGACTCAGAAAGCATGCTGAGGAAGATCAGTACAGGCATTCTTCGTGCAGAGTGGCATGCTTCGCTGCGGAGGACACGGGTGAGGAGTATTATCCTGATTTTTTCACCAGGTCATGCCGGTGTGTTGGAAAAGGAACAGGCGGACTGACTGGCTGGCTCTGCACAGCTTGGTTGGAATACTGATGCATGGTAAGAGGTTAGTGCCTTGTGGGAGAGCTTTTACAGTTCGGAGGAGCAGATGGATCACCATAGTGTGGTGAGATTGATGCAGTTGGGGTGACGAGAAGTTCTGGCAGATGCTCGAGGCTCAAAGGCAAGTCGGACGTTTAATCAGAATGCTACTAGCATCATTAGTATCGAAACTTTTCGCTGGCTGTTAAAGATGGGGACGGAGCGCTTATGGGAATGCTCCGAGTGCTGTGATGTCGGTTCTTGAATCAAATCAAATCAATCAAACCTTTGCATTGCTATTGGCAGTCTCCTTGTAATTTCTTCTCCACTGCTGCTTATTAAACAGCCTTGAATTTCAAAGTCTGTGACATTTTCAATATCTGCATCATGTATTGTTAGAATGGGTGACAGGCAGTATTCATCTTTACTTTGCAGCTAAACGAGAGAATATCATTATCTTCACTGTGGGTGTTGGAAACGCTGTCAACAGCCTGGAGTTGGAACGAATGGCCAGTAGTCCTTCTCATGAGTATGCATTCATCGTGGACAGTTTCTCATTTCTGAACTCGATCAAGGAAAAGCTAGCGATCAGAACATGTCAAGGTAAGTCAGCAGACTTTTTATTAGCTTTCTTTTATGTTTTTATCTTGTTTTCGCCACCTGTAGGCCCAGATAAAACGTCCTAGTTGTTTGTCATGACTGGACTTTAATCTTGCCCCCGGACTGATTGGTGCGCTTAGATCTGATGTATTTGTAAGCAGAATGGAAGATCTTGAAAATTTGCTCCTGGAAAGAATGATGCAACTAGAAGTGTCAAACTGCAGACTGTTAGTTACAATAAAAAGAAAACAGAGACACGTGGGAAGCAGTATAAACTCGCGTAAAATAGTCAGTACCAGCTACTAGACGATGGACTAACAACTGTTGCTACATGTGACACTCTGTGGCAGACGTGGACGATGATAACGATGATGAGCCAATAAAGAGGTCTAGCTGAGGTCCAGGGCTGTCTTTCTTTCGAATTTTTGTTTTTCTCTGATTGTTTAATCGCACCCAGGAGTCCACATATTCTTTTCATGGGAACTATTCTTCTCTGTATCTTTTACTGCACCCAGGAGACCACATAATCTTTCCGTGTGAGCTATTCTTATCTGTTTACTTAACAGTAGTCGGAAATCCTTGTAATCTGTTTAAATTACCTCTTGTAACTGGCATCATAAGCGCTAGACTACAGTGGTTGGGGCATACAGAGATAATGACAGAGAGACAATAATTGGTTGACAGCTAGAGATAAAAATCCCCTACACAAAAGTGTTGACAGCTAGAGATAGAAATCCCCTACACAAAAGTGTTGACAGCTAGAGATAAAAATCCCCTACACAAAAGTGTTAACAGCTAGAGATAAAAATCCCCTACACAAAAGTGTTGACAGCTAGAGATAAAAATCCCCTACACAAAAGTGTTAACAGCTAGAGATAAAAATCCCGGACACAAAAGTGTTAACAGCTAGAGATAAAAATCCCCTACACAAAAGTGTTAACAGCTAGGGATAAAAATCCCCTACACAAAAGTGTTAACAGCTAGACAGATCAAGAAGATCGTGCAAAAATAATGTACAATAATACCCGCTGACACTTAAAATCACTAAATGGAAAGAGAATGCCACAGCCGCCTGACTGCGGGTGATATCTATAGCAGTGGACATAAAGCGCTCTGAATGCTGAAATAAAACACGAAGGAGAAGCGGGGACCTACAGGGTGATGTGATCGTTTGCTTCCCTCTCTGAAAGATGTAGGATCGATTTTCATATTTCGTTGCGCTAGCACAGATGGTGAATTAAAAGTTGGACAGAGTACTTGGGGGAACTGTATGATGAAAATATACCAGAAGTAAATTTGTAGGACAACAGTGAAGGTCCACCAATACTGGCTTCAGAAGTTGAGGATGCATTGCATCACATGAAGAAATGAAAGGTACCCGGACCAGACAACATCACATTGGAAGAAACTGAAGCTTTATGATATTTTGGAATTGAAATAATAACACAGTTATTAAATGGCATTTATAATAGTGGGTACATTCCTAATGACATATTAAAATATATACGTATAGCTCCGCCAAAGAAACCGGGCATTAAAATGTGAAGACTGTTGTACCATAAGTCTCATGAGTCCTGTTTAATTATGTATAATTATTATAATTGATATTTACGAGAAGAATACGAAACAAGATTAAACCAGACATTAGTGAAGAATAATTTATGATTTTTGAAAGGAAAAGGTACAACAAAATGTCAAATACATTATCATAAATCTTTCGGAAAGAGCTATAGAAGTAAAAGTCGATTTTTGCTTACGTTTCATTGACTGCACGAAATCATTTCATTGTGTGAAACTTGAAGAAATAATCAAACTGTTTGAAAAGTTAATCATTGATAGAAAAGATTTACGAATAATAAAAAACATGTATTGGCAGCAAACAGCAGCTATACGAGATAATAAACAGCTGGAATCATGTCAGAGCACAAAGAGGGGAGTAAGACAAGGATAATTACTATCACCTGATTTTTTTGCATTATACAGTAAGAATATAATTAGATCTATCGTTGATATGCCAGGAATTGTGGTTGGTGTGCATAACATAAACAACCTACGTTATGCTGATGACACCTTCTTGATAGCGACAAGTTAGACGGAACTACAGGAATTTATAGATGCGGTGGTGGTGGAAAGTGATAGAATGGGCCTTATTTTGAATAAAAAGAAGACAGAAGGTGATTTCCGAGAAAAGAATAGTGCCTAAATGTATAATAAAAGTCAAAGGCGTTATTTTAGGACAAGTACAGAAATGTCAGTATCTGGGCACATAGATAATATCCGATGAAAAATGTGTCACTGAGATAAAGATTAGAATAGGACAGGCAAAAGCTGCATTTTTTAAAATGAGGAACATTTTATGGAGTGAATCCATGTTATTGGAGGTTAGGAACAAAATCCGTGCATGCTATATAGAGCCAGTTTTAACATCAGCTGTGAAGCCTGGACAATTAATAAACAAGTCAAACAATATCTTGAGGCCTCTGGTTTTACAGAAGAATCCTTATAATTCATTGGATAGCTACGAAGAGCAAACCAGATGTTTTAAAAGAGGTGTATGCTTAAAGTCAACTTATCACAAACCTCAGAAAGAGACATTCATCATTGTTTAGTCATGTTATAAGAAGAGGGGAAATGAGATATGTTGTGATCACTGGAAAGATCTGTGGAAAGAAAGACAGGGAAAGACAGCGCGAGAATATTCTTGACAGTCTTTTGTCATGGCATGGAGAGGTGTCAACACACAAACTGATACACGCAGTTGCAGATCGCAGATTGTGTGGAGAGAGGCATAATCGCCCACGTCAGTCGGCACGACACTTAAAGATAATGAGCACAGGTGTGTTTGTTAAATCTGAATGGTCCTTTGAGCTAATAATTTCCGGCTTTGTGCAACGCTGAAGGTCGCCAGACTATCTTTAGAGAAGGGGAGGTGGGGGGGGGGGGGGATAGAAATGAGAGATTGAGAGAGACGGGCAGGGAAGGGGACAGCCAACCCGAGAGGAAAGGGAGAGCTAGAGAAATAGGGTTGTGGGGAGAGAGAGAAGAGAGAGAGAGAGAGAGAGAGAGAGAGAGAGACTTAGCCATATGAGATCACATCTGGTGTGAAGAGACTGACGCTCTTGTCCTCTTGCTCAGAAGTTCTTGACTGAAGCATTTAGTACAAGAAATGTAACGTTAACACTCAGTGAGGCTACGGTAGCGCAATTGCCTAACGTTTGCCTTGTCAGTGGTTCAAATCTTCACCAGAATGTATTTATGTAGTTCACTTGGGCTCACAGCCTGAGAAGTACCGGAAATATTCATGGAAATTAAAGGCGGGCAACTGGATTTTGACCACTATGTGTAAAACGTGCCCGTGGGTCCGTAGTTCATACTTCTTTTGATGTCGCCTTCTAAAGGGCGGTTTACACGTTTTCTTGTGGTTTACAACTGGCCTGCAGTATCTGCCTCTTTAGGCCTAACACAACTGACTTCAGGTAACGCCTGATTTGTAGCATTTTAGAACAAGATTAGAGAGAGTAAGAAGTAGTAAATAAAGGACCATTGTCCACGCCATAAAGCGTACTGGGTATATGGGGCAAGACCTACATTGTAAAGACCAATCGGCACTTGGTGGGTGATGTAATCAACATAACGCCGGCCACTTTTACGTCCCAAGACTTGACTGGTACCCAGTCGAAATGGGATCCAAAGCCAGTTTTGAGAACAGTCTGGCTCCGTCAGGACCCGAACTTACGATCTTCCGATCCGAGGCGAGCAGAGAGACTGGGTCTATTCTTTCTACCTAAGTGCGACCCAAGAACCCGCACGCGGATATTATTATAAGCAGAAATAGGTCTAGCACCATGTGCATGTGGCTATTTATTTGAGTTTATTAATATAGTTATTCAACTGTCACTGTCACTACTGGCTGTATTTGCCACTTTTTAAGGCTGTGTAGCCGGGGGGGGGGGGGGGGGGGTGGCCGTGAACCTGAGGAATTAGGGCCACATGGCTAGAGCTGTCGCCAAAGTTAATGAGAGAATTAAAACGTCTCCCGACCCCTCAGAAATCTGGCAAAAGAATGCCCAACCCAGACTCCGCTTGGCGTCTCTAGAAAAGAAGTCCTGTATTTGTGCCGAAGGAGTAACAAGGCTTACAGGACTTTCTAAATAATATCCAAGAAATCTCTATCCCACAGTTGCAAGTTTGAAAATGTAGACTTCTCAAAACAACTAGAAATGTTTAATTCACCAGATAGAGGTATATATTAATATGAGGGACTATATACCTCCCCGGACAGGTTTAAATTTGAAATGTGACGTGCCCGCTAGGTATGTCAGCGTCACGACTAGTCCACAATGTAGGGTTGGCTGTTCACTCCGCGATATTTGCCCCCCATTTAAAAAAAACGTAATCACCTTACTGGGAGTCGAACCCAGGTCTTCCACATGAGACCCCAACGTCGTACCACTCGGCCAATCGCTCCTCAACATAATCAGTGATATTCTTTTCTTACAGTACAGTCACCTACGACGCAGATGCCAAAAGCTACAATTTCTACAACCCGAATACAAACAACTATAGCAACACGAGAACCAACAACTTTAACAACACAAAGACCAACAACTGCGGCTATTACCTTGGCCACCACAACAAGCAGTTCACGAGTCGAAACAACCGAGTTACCGCCAAGTAAGTACAGCTTTGATTTCAGTGAATGATCTTTTTTTTTTAAGCACATCCTGAGTAAAAGCGAACAGATAAATACTAAACAGGCACTAAAATGCGAAACAAATGGATGAAAGTAACGAGGACCTTCAAGGTAAAACATAAGATGCATGTTGAAGAAAGAGGCCGAGGCAACTTGACTGGTTTCCATACATGATATAGAAAACAGTACATAACAAACAAATAGACATGATAGTTAGTTAGTTAGTTAGTTAGTTAGTTAGTTAGTTAGTTAGTTAGTTAGTTAGTTAGTTAGTTAGTTAGTTAGTTAGTTAGTTAGTTAGTTAGTTAGTTAGTTAGTTAGTTAGTTAGTTAGTTAGTTAGTTAGTTAGTTAGTTAGTTAGTTAGTTAGTGAGTGAGTGAGTTAGTTAGTTAGTTAGTTAGTTAGTTAGTTAGTTAGTTAGTTAGTTAGTTAGTTAGTTAGTTAGTTAGTTAGTTAGTTAGTTAGTTAGTTAGTTAGTTAGTCACTGGTCAGGTCTTGGTCAGATATGACTGAGCTACCGTATATCAGTAGCCAGTACCATCTGTCTTCTGTTACGCTGAATGTTGAGCGACGTATACTTACCCAACATCCCATATTGTGCCAACGGCTTCGGGCGGGGGAGCTCATTGGGAAGGATACTAGCCTTATCCTATGAAGAGGAAATTCAACCTGAAAACTTTGTGTTATGGCAGGGCAGACCAGGCCTTTCGCCTTGGCTGGCAGCTGGTCTAAGAGGGAAGCTCCCGACATCTGACCCGTGGGCCAATGCAGTCCTTTGCAAGCTCACACATTTGATTAAATAACTCCAATTAGTGGCCACGATGACGACACATTTGGACCCATATGGCCCTAAAAGGACCCAGTTTGACATGCCTGGTGTAAATGAAGACTGACTCACATCGGCGACCGGGTCGCCCATTGACTGGCCGGTAGACGACTTCGTCGCCGGTCGCGACTGTGTTTGAGTCTGTTCCCTTGGATCGCATCAACGCTGCAAGAGTCCTTTTCAAGGCTACTTGATGGCGAGCAATTTTAAGATATTAAATTTGGTGTAAAAAACGTAATAAAAAACATTTATAAATAAAAGCTCCCCCTTTCGCAATGCGGGTTCAAAGCGACGATTTGTTTTTCCATCAAAAAACGGACGGGTCGGAAGATTGAATCAAACTGTTAAAGGCCCAACATCACTCGGTGTGTGATGTGGTCAACATCAGTATGACCACCTTTACTTCCCAGGCAACTACATGGTGCCCATGTTAAGCTGGGTAAAGATGAAAGTCCATTTAAAATTTATTTTAAACTCTGTCTCTCTCTCTCTCTCTCTTTCTCTGTGTGTGTGTGTGTGAGAGTGAGTGCGTGCGTGCGTGTGTGTGTGGGTGTATGGGTGTTTGTGTGTGGGTGGGTGGGTGGGTGGCGGTGGGTTGGTGGGTGTTTTTTTTTTTCTCTCTCTTATTTTAATCTTTTATTCTACTGGTCTCGATTAGGACTTTGGGCCAAAACATTTGGGTCGACAAACGAGCATTCATTGTACTGGAGACCGAAAAATGACATGAAGTTGTTATTTATCTCTGGTGACAGTTATATTTGCATATATCTTACCAGAGAGCACCGCTACAACAACAGCCGCAACAACAACCACCACAACAACAACGACGACGACAACAACAACAACAATACCAACAACTACAACAGTACCACTTCCCACAACTACAACTTGGGTTGATGTTGTACGGAGAAGTAAGTAAAAACACCTTCCCCCTCCCCCCCTGGCTTTTATTTTATTTAAAGGATAATAATATATAGTTCTCCATGTGTATTAATCGACCCCTTCTTCCCCCCCCCCCCATTCCCATCCAACCACCCCCCCCCACCCCCCGCCCGAGTTCCCTTGTTCTACTACAAACGGTATTATATCATAAAACCGTTAAGAATCATTTCTGCAGATGCCACCTGCCTCCATTCATTTCAGCAATTTTGCTTCTGTTTTCAGTTTGTGACTCCAAGTCTGTCTATGTCTGCCTGTAAATTATCTTTCCACCTTAATCTGTGGCTACCTTAGGGTCTGTTCAAAGTCATTGCTGTTTTCTACGCGTTTGTTTTTTTCTATCTGTTATCTTCCATTATTTATATATGCTCCAGCTACTGCAGTTTATCAACCCTGTTGAGGCCAACACCTGCTGGTGATATAACAAGATTATGAATTCTGTTGTTGATTTTCAGTCTCACTTCTAAGGCATTGTTATCTTTAATAGGTCCGACGATTTTTAAAATTTTGCACAAAAGGAAAATACTAATTGTTTGAATACTTCAGTTGACGAGCCTTTATTGACCATTGGTAGTATCAGAGGATAAACATGTGTGTTCTTTCTTTTGTGTAGCTTTTAAGGGTTTAGTTCTTCTTAGTTAGCTACGGTATATTAGATTATGTTGTATATATATATATATATATATATATATATATATATATATATATATATATATATATATATATATATATATATACATATATGAGGTTTGAGGTTTTAAAGAACGGACCAACATCATGACACACGAGTGTAACCTATAAGTGCTCCGTTCTTCTAGTAACTCAAGTCTGAGTCAGAAGAAGCTCTGATGCTTCAATATGTAGCTAAGCACATCAAAGTCGCCGATATCAATCAAGCAAACTAAAGGGGCATTGAAATGTTGTGAATTCCCGGGGAAATCCCAGAGAGTTCCCGATGGGGAGGACAAGGTCAGAGGACCAGTGATACAAGAGAAAAGCGAGGTAAGTGGGTCTCGGGTATCCCATGGTGAGCGAAGTAAGGGATACAAGAAAAGCTTGAGACTGGAACGGAAGACGTGAACTGACAGACGGTAGTAAAACAGTTAAAGTTCGGACCTGGTTGCGAGAGGTTGTATGAGTCAATGGCTGAGGAGAATGGAGTAATTGTGAATACTTGTAAGGTTTCGAGAGAAGATATGAATGTTTCCTACATGTACTAATACCAGGTACAAGGCTTTACTAGAGGATGGATGTGTGATTCGAGAGATGCGTATGGATCAAAACAGTGTGTATGAGGATTGAACAGGCCGTCAGAAATCCGTCAAGCAGAACGAACACAAGGACGAAAGAATGCGCGCCTGTGAAATGTTGTGATTTAACGAATAAAAGTATACAACTGAACGTTCGTCTCTGCTGTGTTATAGCAACTAAATGTTCGTCATATAGCAATGTGGCGTACAAAAACACACCCCTAGCAGAGCACATTGCAGGCATGAACAGCAAGTTTCTGTAGCTAGAAACACTATTTGCCTTTAACGTATGGCGACTGTTTTTTCGTGACATTTTAAATAGTAGTTTTACATTTATCGTTAGTCTTATTTTAATTCATGTTACTAGAAGTAAAATAAAACATGTCACAAAGAAGCAATTTCAACTTGTGGCATCAACATCATGTAGCAGGTCCTTTACAGTGCATCGCTCTTATCACGGTCTGCCTGAAAGAAACTCGGTCTTTCGCCAGAGTCACTTATATCCTGTGCCCATCTTCGTGTTGGTCGGCCCCTGCCCCTCTTTCCTGTACCATGCCTTCTGCTATTATTTTTTTCAAATCCGTCATGGCGCTTGATGTGACCGAAATGTTTCAGTTTCCGAGACAGGATGTTGTTTATAAGCCAATCTCCCTTGATGTTCAGATCTTTCAAGATGTCAGTATTTCTCCTCTTCTGTGTCCAAGATATTCTGAGAATCTTTCTATAGCATTTCAGCTCAAAAACCCCTATTCCCTTTCCTAAGGACTGGGAGATAGTCCACGACTCACATCCGTTTTTTGTCACATGGAAGATGCATGCTGTCAAAATTATAATATGCAGTGGCTGCATATTACTGATAAAAAAAATATTTTTGAGTCTCAGATTTGTTATTCTAGAGAAGAAAGTTGACCAGCCAAAATATGTAATGTAAATATTCTTTAAACGTACCCTGACCCAGAAAACAATTATCCATGTGTATTTATGAAACAACAGATCACATCCTCCACGACTGTCTCAAATATAACATTTTCGGGCAAAACTTCTGTCCAAGAAGCCAAACTTTACGGACAGCTAAGTCAGTTAGAAAAGATAGTGAAGTTCAAACTAGAAACACAATGCAGATGTAGATAACTTGTTTAAAGCGAACGAAAGAAGAAGAAGACACATACAAGAAAAAAGCAGTAGTAATTGCTTTGCCGCATTATGAAATAAAGAAAAAGTAAGCATGCCGTGACGTTTACACAGATTTTTTTTTTTTGTGAGGGGGGGGGGGAGGGGGAGGTGAAGGCTGGAGGGTAAAGGATACATCGAAATGATTGTTGACAGGTTTGTGTCCAGGCACACTGACATGTTAGGCGAAATATGCATCATGTTAAAGATAACTAGAGGGGGAGATGCATACCTTAAAAGTTAGTTGTTTATTTTTGACAGGACGTTGGGAAACCAACCCCAGCATTTTGTTTTGGCGGATGTCGTTTTTCTAGGAAAATTTACATTCAGTTGTTTTCCACTACGCATGCTTGCCATATCAATTATCCGTATCGGGTTAGTTGCGTATCCTTTACAGGACGTTGCAGGACCAACCCCAGCAGCGCCTGGCTGTTGTGTGGTTTCTCTAGGCAAATTTACCTCCAGTAGTTTGCCATTGCTTTCTAATTATCCGTATACTTGATGATAATAATGGCGATGGGTTATTACCCTATTTCTTATTTCGACTTCTTCTTCTCCTTTTCTAGACCCTGTTCTGCCTTTTCGCATCAGATTTTGAAGAAGCATCGGGTGCGAGCCTTGATGTGCATTGTGCAGATTGCAGATCATCCTAATTACGGCCTTGTGTGTGATGTCTGTCCATCGCTTACGCGGTCGACTTCTATCTCTGCTTCCATTGTGCCCATGTGACAGGGCTTCAACACGGTGCTTTTTTCTAGCTCTCTTGGCGTTATTTTTACTTTGAAGTCAGAAGGGTCAGCGTGGCGAAATGGTCAGAAAGTTTGCTTCGCTCTCCGAAGGTCGTTGGTTCGTTTCACAGCTGTATTGTTCGTACCATTGTTTTTGGGAGATGCACGCGGATCTTCTTCTTCGCCTTAACAGGCAGCAAACTTATGCGAAAGGTTCTTGTTGTTGTCCACCTCTGGACTTCAGTTCCTTAATCTGAGTGTTGTGTTCACATCCGTTTTACAGATCTGACTTATGTGTATGCAGATTGTTGGTTCTTTGCATCTCAGACACACGTACTCCTTCTGGGGATCATCGCCAGCTTTACTTCCTGATTTGTGCGACGCTTTCAGAATTTAGCTGGCCGTTCTGCTGAGAGAGACTGAGCCATATTGTGTAAAACCATGTGCAATTATTTAGTTCAACTCGATGTTAATTTTTGGGCAAGCTAAGCAAATAGCGAGAGAGGACCGGTGCTGCAATGATAACAAATTGTCTATCTGCAAAGAGTAAATAACTGACGATCAACCCCACTAGGACCGCACAACCACGAGCGATAAACACCTGGTGACATTAGGTGCAACTATACTTTTTGGATGAGAGTCACTTGGGTGCAAGTCCAAAAAGTCCCGTTTAACCATCAGGTAATATTAGGGCCCCCGACTATAGCCGGATTTGGGCTTTCAAATAAGACAAAAATGAGTCTCAGGTTCGGGAGAGGTTAAATCTAGCTGTAGTTACAGGTTATAAGTGCCTGTTAATTGGCCACTTCACTCCCACTTTTGGCTAATTAAAGAACTAAAAATGTTACAACTAAAATTGTGGTCCATACAGACGTTGTGTAAACCTAGCTCAGTCACCTACAAAATGCGCCTGGTCAAACTAGAACGGATAATGATCCATGAAGAAAATAACAAGAATATAAGGGCAGGAGAAACACACTGGTAAGGAGGGAGTGGTCTGTCTTTGAGTATATGGACATTAAGCTACAGAGTTGGCGCACATACCAGAACCTTAGCCGCGAAGGTGGCGCATATAAACCAGACCGCACATATAACCGCAGACTGTTGCAGCTTCGGCTAGCTGACAGCAGTTCAAACGTCGTCAAGCTTAAACTGAATCTGAATACTCCACTTGCAATCTACATGGGATGTGATTCCAATACATTACCTATATCACAATATAACACCATCGGCAGACTGTACTGTTAGGTTAGTTGCATATCCTTTACAGGACGTTGCAGAACCAACCCCAACAGCCCCTGGATTTTGTGTGGTTTTTCTGTGCAAATTTACGTCTAGTGGTTTGCCATTGCTTTCTGGACCAACACAAGGCGCATGGCCCGTAGCTAGGATCGAACCCGGCATCCCGGCATTACGAAGCGTTCGCATCGACTTAGCCACAGAGCCGACAGACAATAGTGACAACTGTTAAATCAATATTATCCAAAGAATATTCTTAGAAATTTTACTAAATTGCTTTTTTTCCCCCCCAAGGTATGCTTCGTGTAGAATGGCAAGCATCACTTTAGAGGTCCCAGGTAGTTCGCATTTTTGGATATTTTCTTCAGGTGATGCAGGTGTGTTGGGAAATGAGCAGATACATATACTGGCTGACTCTGCCCAACTTGGTGGTGAATTGATATATGACTAGTTAGCTATTTTGAGGGCCCTTTGGGAACGAGTGAACAGTGCGGAGGCGCAGAAAGATCATTACGGTCTAAGGAGAATGGCGATGCGAGGAGTTACCAGGGAATCTGGCCCACGCTCAACACTCAGGGGAGGGATGGAGCGGATATACAATCAGACGGCTACTGGTAACTTCGGAATTGGAACTCTTCGCTTGCTGCTGTAATTGGACACTGAGCACTTATGGAAGTGTCCCGAGTGCTGTTATGTCGATTCTTAATTCAACAATTAACGCAACATTTTCTCCAAATTTTATATTCGGTAGTGGTTTTCTTCAACAGTTTGTGAGAAGAAACCGGTTGATGTGGTTTTCGCCCTGGATTCGTCTGATGTTGTTGGTCCAAAAGATTTCTGGTATCAGGTTAAATTTGTGAGAGACTTCACTCTGGGTTTGGATGTTGGCTTCAACAAAACCAGGATTGGAGTGGTTCTCTACAGCGATCTGGTACGTTGTCATGTTTCTATAGTAGCTCTGTCTTGTGGTGTTGAATTGTTAGATTGGATTAGCGAGTGGCCGAGTTATTGGAGCCTTAGGTTTTCATGTGGGGGACCTGAGTTTTATTCTAGTAGTTTTGCCTGTCCAAAAAAAAAAAAAAAAAAAATCAAACCGACCTAGTTTCTTTTATATTCTATCATAGCTCAGATCTCTCCTGGAACCTTCCCCACGCCTCACCCCACCCTCCCCCCCCCACACACACACACACACACACCGTTCGTAAGGGGACAAAACGCAACTAAATAAAACACACATTGTAAGATCTTATACTCATCCTTACGTGACAATGAACAAGCAAAGAGACAACTGTACTGACAGCATGGCGATGTGGACATAAGGAGACAAGGTCGTATTTCACCGGGGGAAAAAAAAGGGGGGGGGGAGGAGGGGAGACAGAAACATATATTTTCGGTATCGTAGGAATAAGAAAAAATATTATTGCTGAAAGAAACAAAATAAAGACAAGTGATATATTTTGGTCACGTTAGAAGACACATCATTTATTTAAAAAACCATACTTGGTGGAAAATTGAGGGCAAGAGGGCAGAATGAGGACACAGATACGAGTGGGCGTACAACATCAAGATTTCAGCAGAGCCCTGATAATACATTTTAATAGCATGCTTGTTAACAGACAGTGGGTCTGTCTTCCCTTTCCCAAATGAGATTTTGCTCACGTACGATATTTTACAGTCTGCTAAGTAAAAGGCCCTTCTTTTAGGTCAAAGCGCTTTAGGTATATGATGCTAGACTAGATTTGTGTATACCAATTGGTAATCATTGGACGATGTTATCGGCGTCACGCCGGTGGCTTTTACTTCCCAGGACATTACCTGGTACTTATTTTAGGCTTGTTCGACCTGGGGTCCAGTGTTTGAGGAAAACTAAATCCGACTGCATCCAGTCTCGGACCAGCAGACGATCGACTATCCACGACGCTACCGCATTTCCCAAGCGTCCCCGTAGTGTACCGGCTAGACCCTCGCACTGCAGATCTAAAGGTCTAAGTTCAAATCCGAACGGAGCGAATATCTTTTCCACACACAAAAAAATGCCCATAGCTCCTAGGTCGACCCAACCGTAAATGGGTACTAAGTAACTTTATGGGAAATAAAGGCATCCGGTGGGGCGTATGAAGATCATCCACTGAGTGCAGAATGGTCTATAAAATACAGGTCTAGCAGTGTACGCCCCAAACCACTGAAGGTGCGGACAATTGTCCTTTACCGCGCCCACAAACCAGGTAAGACACAACTGCATCCTTGCTTTTTACTTGCATTTCTGCAGGTAGTTCACGGGTTTGACGTCAACGACCACACGAGCCTCTCTTCTGCCATTGGAGATCTTTACCGTATCACGAGGACTTACGGCGGTACGCGGATCGACGAAGTCATCCATTACGTAAGGACAAAGAGCTTTAGGAGAACGGTTAGCAGAAGTCAGGCAGCCCAGGTAAACTTAATATTGTCAGTGAATAGCAATATCTTCTCCAGCTACAAACCCTGAGCTGTGTATTGTTTTGTTTTAACTGTCTTCTTTTGTCTATCACACTACTGTATTGTATGTCTGAAATATGTAAAATCCATCATCGTTGTCATGAACGTCTCTACTCATCATCAGCATGTTTCATGCCAGCTGGCGTTGGCGTTCATGTATCTCCACAGATCTCGGTCTCTAGTGTTGTGGATCAATTTCACTAATGATATTTCTCCATGACACTATCTTAAGTCATCCACAATCATGTCCCTTGGTCTTCCTCTGTCTCTTCTACCAGTGGTCTTTCCAGTCGTCACGATGTTTCCCAGTACTCTCTTTCTCATTACATGATGAAATAACATTGTTTGTCTCCTTCTCATTGGTGAATATAATGTTCTACTTTCATTAGCCATTTCCAGGCAATCATTGTTAGTTATTCTCGCAATCAAAGGTAATCACAAAATTCTTTCCAAGAACCACATCTCAGTTACCCCCAAACTACTCTTAATTTGTTTTCTCACATCTCAAGATTTACTGCCATACTACAGAGCAGGCTGGATGTAACATTTCAATCAATACTCGTTTTAGGATGTTTAATGAAAGTGATATATTACATAAGATACTTTTCATTTTCTGAAATGCTGCCTTTGCATAGCCAACACTGCACCCAATTTCTGTCACACGTCGTCCTTTTAATGGTATGAATGTCGCAGATACGTAAATTTATCTATTGCTAATTTACACTTGGGAGTTATTTTCTTCTTTGACATAATCATTGTTTCTGTTTTCTTGACATTCTATGAAAGTCCCTTTTCTGCCCTCTTTAGTAACACAATGACTAATTGTTGTAAGACTTCTGTGTTTTCCGCTGTTAATACTGTATCATCTGCATAACGAAGATTTTTTTATTACAAACTCCAACTAGTATTCCTGGTCTATCCTTGACCTCCCTCATTATTTGTTCACTATAGTGAGAGTTAAGATCCGGTGATAAAAGTCAAACGCCTCACACCTTGCTTTGTCTGCTTATAACTGCCTTCTTTATTTCCCAATTGCTGTTTCTTGCTTCCAGTAAATTTGATTATTATTCTGAAATCTTTTCTCTACATTAAAAAGATACAATAATTTGGCTAGTCACAGAGAGCACACCCCCAACTGGCGGAGTTCTTACATGATTTTTTATTGGACACTTGCGTTTAACGGTATGTGTATATGCTGGGATGGTCCACGTTCTTGACCCAAGTGTAACTGATACCTAGGGCCCTTTACAATCGCTGCCCTCTTTCTATGACTCTACATGGCCTCATAGACCATCATCACAATCCTTTGCAATCGGAGATGCAACAGAATGGCTCTGACCCACCAGGAAGTTGTAAGGCAAGTGTGTCACACCTACTGTCGCTCCAGAGTAATGTCTCACCGACAGAGACGGCCCATGAAAACTTGGGCTTACAACATACTACCCTATGCAATATATCAAACAATCAGCCTAGCCACGCGAGAGACCATCAATCTACGGGTAACAAGAACATAATTAAACTATAGTCAGTTTCAAGTAGAAATATACTATAATAACTAAAGGAATTAAATGGTATGATAGAATCACTAATGCAGAGCTTTGGGAGAGAACCAGTGGACCAAACAGTGAAGAAAAGACGTTGGCGTTGGATAAAGCACACGTTGAGAAGACCTCAACAATATAACTAGAATGTCTGGCACTGGAACAAACAACGGCATTGAAATAAAGGAAGATACAAAACACATGCAGTAGGGAGCTAGAGATTAATGTTAAAAAAAGGGGAGAACATGAGGAGAGCTGCATGAAGAAGAAGAAGAAGAAGAAGAAGAAGAAGAAGAAGAAGAAGAAGAAGAAGAAGAAGAAGAAGAAGAAGAAAAAGAAGAAGAAGAAGAAAAAGAAGAAGAATTAAGCCTGAGTCACATTCACAAAGTTGCAGAACCAACCCGAGCATTTTTTAGCTGTCGTGGTTTTTATAGACAAATGTTATGTTTAGTAGTTTGCCATTGCTTCATAAACGGTCAGCTCCCGGTACCACTGTCAAAGCCAAGGCAAGATCAATTGTCTGCAGCTACTTTCACAGAGAAATATACAGTTATACGCTAGTCGTTATCATTTAGAACACTGCTGTGAAGAACTACTGTCTTTACAGTAACCTTTTCTGTCTCAGAAACAACCGTCTCAGTCACAGTCCAAACCCTGTCTTCCTCAACCTTTAAGTCCCTCGTCTGTGTTACCTCAAGGTCCGGCACAATTCTTCCTTCCTTTCCCGCGTCATCTCCAGCTAAACTCAGTCGGTCACGAGTCGTTGGATTTGTCTGTCCATCCGTTCTTTAAAAAAAAAAATCCTTACCATGTTCAACCTGCTGTTAGCAGCCGAAACCTCCAACAGTCTCTGATTATATTTATGGTCAGGTTTATTTGCGCTACTTTCTTGGCTAATATTTTG